CCTTTGGAGATGCCAGAGAGGAGACTGGGTGGGTCTGCTGCTGTTCCCTGAAAATGGGGGAGAATAGCAAGTCACTCAGCAAGGGGGAAAGGGAAGGAGGTTGTCTGGGGAAATGGGTCCTATATGGTTTCTAGAGGGTTAGCTGTGCCCGGCTTTTTGAGGCCTTGGCTAATTGAGAGATTCATATTGAAATTATTTAAAATGTTCCAGGATATACATGTGCCTCTCCCTTGAGGACAGGAAGCCAGGCTGTCAGTGTTGACTTCAGCACTTGTGTGACAATTCTCATAGCAGTGTTCAATTGCACAACAAGAAGTTTTGTATTTACACTACCTGCAGATACGAGCATGCAATATTCAGCTGCGGAGAAGATGAGGGATGAGGTAGTTGTCCACAGGGCATAAGCATCTGCTATTCAACCGGACCCGGCTAGTTTGTGGATTATGTTGTTCCTAGTTGTTATCTTGGCAGTGGTCTTCATCAGATGTTGGCAGAACTTGAGGCTACAATCCAGAACCTCACTCCAATATATTTTGGGAAATCCTCACGCCTAATATTGGTTTCAAAGAAGGTGACATTCAAGCTCTTCTGTGCAAGTTCCTCAGGTGGAATGCAGAGGCAGCTGTTTTTTGAGGATTCAGTTGGAGTTGCCATAACCAGTAGTACTCCTCCAGCTTTTTCAACTTTTTGGTGAGGGTTCATTCCACTTGGGTGAAAGTGCTCGCTTGAATGGCGAGCATGAGATCATCTGAGTATCCAAATTTCCATGACTGAGTTGATGGCATGTCACTGATATAAATATTAAAGAATGATGGTGACAAATGGATCCCTTTGGGAGCCCGTTGTTCAATAGGCTAGGTCTGTTGGAGCTACATGAACTTTGCAATTGGTGAGCATAACTGTGAGTAGGTGCTGTGTTCTTCCACAACGTGCTATTTTCAACACTTTTAGAAGCAGGCCGTCCAGCCAAACCATGTCATATGCCAAGGACAGGTCCACAAAGGTCACTGCTGTTTTGAGCCAGTGTTGACAGTTAGCTTTGATGTAGGTAGTCAGTGTGATTACCTGGTTGCAGGTGCTTTGTCCCAGCCTAAACCTGGATTTCAGTTTGGGGATGTAGTCCTCAAAGATAGGTGTAAATCTTTGGTGTAGCATCCCTTCCAAGACCTTGTAAGTTATGCATAGTATTGATATCCACCAGTAGTTTTTCAGCTGCTTTCCCTGGTTTCAGGATGGCAATGGCCTTTGTCTATTGCCATACCTTGGGCGCTTGGCCAAGGGCATGCCCTTGGTGAGGAAGGATGTCAGCCAGTTGCAGCCATGTTGACCAAGGTTTTTCAGAAATTCTGTCACGATGCTGTCTAACCCTAAGCAGGCAAGACATACAAAGGGTGGGAGAAAGAAAGTGTTATCTTCATTTTACATATAGGGAACTGGAGTTCCCTAATCCTGCAAACACTTATGCACGTGCTTAGCATTATTCATGTGAGTAATCCTGTTGGAGTCAATGATCCAAATCTCTTGTGTCATAATCATAAGCTTCTCCTGTGATTCTGGGTAATTCAGATTCAAGTCTCTACTACCTCTGATTGAAAATACGAGTGTTACTTTGAGTTTACTTCATGTTAAGATTAGAGAACCATAATTTACAGTAAGAGGTCTTGCAACATGTGTTGTTACGGCAACACTGAACAATATTGCCTTAACTATAGTCGTGGTGGAGCTCGGACCGTCAGCCCGAGCCCTGGACAGCGGGACTCCCATGATTTATTGTTTATTGCCTGCATCCTGCCCGTAACTTTTACTAAAAATATCCAGGACAAAATCTTAGCTTTAGTGATAACACTTCTAGGGAGTATGCAGTAGGTGTGATAGCCAGACCGGACTGCCAAGTAAACTCTCACTGAACTAAATGACAGACGAGAGGGCTTAGAAGACAATAAATAGTTCAAAATATCAAGAACGGAAGTCTCCTCCAGCTAAAGGTGACACTGAGTAACCCAAAGGGAGAAACGCTTCCACTATTATATCAGTCTGGTGGAGGGATTATTATTCTGAATAATAATATCCTGAACCTCTGCAGAATTTCTAGCCACAGCAGTCAGCCAGCCAGCATCCAAGCTGTCAGATGTAGAGAGGAAAGGTCTGGATTAAGAACTAGACAGTGGTTCTGTGAAATTCTGTCCTGAAAGTTTGATGAATGGTTGACTCAACTGATGCAGCAGATCTAAGAACCAGAACTGAAGTGGCCAAGTTAAAACTATGAGAAGTAGTTGTGCATTGTTTTGACTTGTCTTCTGAAAGATGCCATGAATTAAGGGAAAAGGTAGAAAAGCATACATCAGGTGATTGCTCCATGGAATCAGAAAGGCAACTGATATGGGGTCCTAATTCAAAATTTGAGAGCAAAACTTGAGACATTTCGTGTTCTTGTTGATTGCTAACAGATCTACCAGAGAACTCCGTTTTCAAAATATCTGGTTCAGTTATCAAATCAGACTTCGAGGCCACTGACAATGGAGACACATCTAGGATTGATGATTCAACTCTGGAGTGATTCTCAATTCCCTGTAAGTTGTAAAAGTAGTCACAGTAGAAGGTATTTGCACCAAATGAAGTGATTCTGATGCAGATGATCTCTTCTCCCCAGTCTCTACCATAAAGTTGATGATGTAGATAGTACCAGATGATGTAGAAGACCAGTGACCAATTTTAATCAGCGTGGAGCCAGAGCAGAAGCAGCACATGGTGCCACTTGACTCAGCTAATACTTCTACTGTTCAGAGAATGATGAGTCAGACTTCTTTTTAGAATGTATCAGACACAGGGATTGGTGCCAAGTGCACTTTGAGCAGTGCTATTTTCTTCCTCCTACAGCAAGGGCAATTGACTGCTCCAAGGGTACAGCAACTATGCCTAGGGATTTTAGAAGCTGCATGAGGTCTTTGTCCCTCAGAAGCCTGGAGTAACCTCTTGAGAGGACAAAGCACTAGTGAACTGGGGTCTTGAGGAGGAAACAGGAGATTCTTTCCTTGAAAGAACTCAGTCAAATGCCTTTATCTACTTCTCGATCAAAATTAATTGTAAGCATGACTCATAGGTTTTTGGGTAAATTTTGAGAATGATTTATGAACTGCACATTTTTCAGGGACATGGCCTGCCCACTTGGCATGTCAGTCATTCAAAGATATAGCTGCATTCCAGGATGGGCAGGTTTTGAAATGTGGTGATTTGTAGATTCAGCCAAAGGGATGGTAGCCCTGGTACTATGGCACTTACTCATTTTTCCCCCCAGAGGGCTAAAGGTATCAAAAGAAAACTACCTACATTATCACACGATGTAACAAGAACTTCTACAGAGCTCGAAGGACCCTGAGGTTGATCCATCTCACCACCACAAGCAGTAAGAAGGACCTGAATGGTGGATTAGGTTACTCTGTCCTTTATGCCCTTGAGCAGGGCATGCAGGGCACACACATGGTCCTAATGGACACTGCTGGTTAAAAGATTCCAGTCTCCTGCCCGTGGGGCACATGAAGGGTGGAATCCACATGGACAGACACTCAAAGACAATCCAAACCTTAACCTCCATGAAAATTGCTATCATGATGAGGAAAATCCTGATATTTCAATTACCATCTTAAAAAAAAATCAATCTACAACTTATTTCAAGGGAAAAGGGGCCTACTGAGGCTTATTCTGAAGGCAAAAGAGAATAATTTCTGTATAGTTTGAAGAAAACTAGTCACACTATGCATGAATTACAAGTCAGATACCTGTCTGATAGGCTCTTCAATGGGAAGCACAGCACGAATGGTGGTTGCACAGCCTACAGCTACTGTAGAAGTCAGATTTTATGCACAGAGTAACCTTCTCTCCTGAATTATTTGCTACCTCACGCAAACTATGTGTGTTTTGCGAATTAAATATTTTCTGTTGTATAGAAGTACATGCCTAGATTCTAATCTCATATGCTGCAGTTAAGTAGTTGATTTAAGATAAGGACTTGGTTTGTGTTCTTTTCAGTAATTACTTTGAGGATTATAAAGTGAGCCTGTTTAAAAACAAACTCTGAGGCAATGTCTATATACTGATGTTTTGTTTGTAGCTTTTCTCTTTTTTTGGGGGGGGGGGGAGGAGGAGGGGAATTACTTTGGTGTGAGAGTATTTTAGTTTGAATGCTTATTGTTTCTTGGTCTCTCTGCTGAGACTGCCAGCACAGGCACCAGTTAGAGCCAATTGTCTGGTATTTGTGATATGGACACATTTGTCCTGTTTCCCATTTTAGTTTTCATATTTAACTTTTCATCTTAAGTCCAAGGAGCTACATTGTTGAAAGCAGCAGCAAATTATCAATTGCCTGGCACAGAGGTGTGGTAAAGAAACAAATGTAAATCAAGTCCCATGACTGAAGGAATACTGGTATCAATGGCCTTAAGGGAATGCTAAGACTAGGTCTCACTGGTAGAGGTAACCAAAATAAAACATTAGGGAAAAGACAACCAACTATACTGCTTTGTTTTGAACTGACTGCCAGCTAACTGGGAGGAGAAAACAAGGCCAACCGGAAAGAAAGCTCTTACAAAGTAATATGGATATCTTGCCACTGCGAACGTCTGGATGTTTTGTTCTTTATTTATTATTATTCTAACACTTGCGGCCAATATATTGACATCACAGTTTACATTATTGCTTTATACTGGGGCAAATGTTGACATTTCTATTAGTGTACAGTTATCTCATTGCACAGTAGTGACAAATTACTGCCCGACTTTCCTACTGGCTACTGCTTCCAGGAACAGACAGTGCCATAAATTGGCAGGACATGAAATGCCATTTCAGGCTATATTATAGCACCATAAGAATGTGACTATGATGTGAAAAAAAACTAAATTTTTACCACACATTAACAATATTTTCAGTGGAACAAGGTGCAAACCTCCTCTGACTAAAACAGAAAACTTTCTCACATCACAATACATCTTAAAAAAAGTTTATACTGATGTTTTATAGAACATTTATTGAAAACAGACTTCTTCAATTAGGCAAGAGCTGAAGTAATATGAAGAATTGAGAACTGCTCATTTGTTCAGAGTCTGAAAACCAAGCTTGCCAGTGCATGGAAATGTTAGGTTAGCTTCTTCCTCTAGAGTGCTTGAGCAGTGTACATCCCAATGATCCTCCATATTGGTTTATCAGAAACAGCAATAGCATAGGAACTTTTTTCATTAAGATATGTCTTCATTTTGCTACTAACAATTCCAGTTTAAAATGGTGTCTGCACAAATGTTCTGCAACTGAACCCATCTTTCAACATTGCTTATTCCACTTAAAAGGAAGAATGTCAACCTTAAAATTATTTTGATATATTTCCAAGAATTGTCAAATACACATTTTAAAACTTGAGATGTATCTAATACAGTATTATAAAGCAACAGGGACTTTAACCAAGACTTTAATTTTAGGGATGCTTTGTAACCAAGTATTCACAATTAGTTTCAATGCTATGCAAACTGACTATATCCAGTTAAACAGGTCATTGCACACTTCCAGTCTATATCGTCTGTTAAATTACGATTGTCATTTCATAGTATGAATGCAATAGTTAATATAAAATCTTGTTAACTAGACTTTGCAAGACAGTTTTGCCTCCAGCAAGTTCTCACCCCGACACAGTTTTTGCCCTGTGTTTTTACACTGTATTCTAACTAGTTACCAATATATACAATTAACCTGCTACATGCAAAATATGTACTTAATAGTACAAAACTACATACAAATTCTAGTTTTTAAACTGTTCAGGAAACAATACACTGGGAACTAGAAAAATACACTCATTTTAAACAATTATTACATGTGACCTAACACATCCATACATTTGACTACATAGCTTTTCCATGTTTAATGATGGTTACTTTATTCTTACTTTGTGTATTTTCATGATTCTCAGCTCATGGTTTTGATTATAAAAAGTGATGACAAACCTTTGACTGAACTCAGTCTAGACCAGCGGTTTTCAAACTGTGGGTCACGACCTCCATTTTAATGGGGTTGCCAGGGCTGGTGTTTAGACTTGCTGGGGCCTGGGGCCAAAGCCACACCCCCAAAGGCTGAAGCCCAAAGGCATCAGACCTGGGGAGTGGGGTTCAGGCTTCAGCTTCAGCTCTGGGCAGCAGGGCTCAGGTTACAGGCCCCCTACCTGGGACGGTGGGGCTTGGACTTTGCCTGCTCCTCTCCCCCTCCTGCCCAGGGCAGCAGGGCTCTGGCTGGCTCAGACTGCAGTCCCCCTTCCTGGGGTCGTGTAGTAATTTTTGTTGTAAGAAGGGGGTTGCGCTGCAATGAAGTTTGAGAATCCCTGGTCTAGACTCTATCCCAAGATGCCTTAGTTAAGATTTCTTTTGTGCTATATGAAATCTGAAATTGTATAGGACAGGGTTTGAAAAATCCTTTTGCCAATGGCAAGCAGGAAGTTCTTCCTGGGAGTAAAGAAGCTTAACATACCAATTTCTGTGGAATTATAGGTTTTGTCTTTTTTTCTAATTACATTTCTAGCCTTTACAGTTGCAAAAATAATCTTCCAAATGTAAGGATGACAAAACTGGCTAGGCTCTGTGGCCAATTGGTTCCAGCTCCTCTGTTATTGTTGCTGCTTGTAACTTTGCCAAACAGTAGCATGGTAAAATTAACAATAGTATGGCTGGTTTCACTAATTCTGTTCAGCATGTTGTCCTCAGTGAAATTCAAACATCAGATCAATTTCATACTGCTATTCCTAAGGAAAGCTATGCAGCAGCAGCAAGGTAAGCAATAGAGTTACTTAGGGTGGAGAAACTATATGGTAGCAGGTAGAATGGTGGAGAACAGCCAGGAGGTGGGGGGGGGGGGGCGGGAATAGCAGATATATATATTTTCATTATAAAGTACATTTGAAACCAGCAAAACTTATTTGCAGAAATCCAATGAAGAAACATTCAATTCTGCTATTTAGGTACCTATAAAGTCATCACCATTGTACCAGCGTGCCTCCAGAAAAGTGTGTGCAAGCGTAGCAGAACAAATATGTACCACATTTAAAAACAAATTTTGCCAAATTAAGAGTTACTGTAGTGTGCACAGAAAGGATGTGTTGTGCGTATTGCATCAGTTCCTTTTCAACCAAATTTCTTCCCCTAACTGCACCATTTCAAGTATAAAGGTAATGGGCAAATGTAAATATGAAGATAAATCTTTACATCCCTCCACCTTCTGGCAGATGGAGCTCAAACAATGTTTAAAACCTCACCTATTTGTAACACATTTTACAACAAAACAATAAAACTTTTTGTATATATAACTGCTCTCTACTATCATTTTGACTGCAATAAGCAGCTGATCATGTTGTTCATGTAGATCAAGAGGAATTAGGGGATGGAGTGGTAGAAATCACAGCCTACGCAATAATACTTATATTGTAGGGTCTGAATATCTTCCAATTATCTTTTTGTTAAATCACAAGGATCTTCCTTTGTTCTTTCCTTCTCCCATTCAGAAAGTTGGCCTTTTTTCATAACTAATGAAGCCTACCAGAGATAAAATAAAGCATTATGTTTAATTTTTTTTTTGTATTTGTATCATGATAGTACCCACTATGTGATATTCAAGCATGAGAGATCGTCTCTGCCCCCAAAGAACTGAGATTTCTGAAGCTCTGCTCAAGTTAAATGGAGGGTCAAATTAAACAGTGATTGAATTAAGCAGAAGGCACTTTATTTAAATAGTAGGCTTTAAAAAATATAAGTTCATGCCAAGCCTGTTTAACATTTTAAACAATGCTTAATAATCACAAACTGCTGTAGATATCAACTCCTCGTGCCTGGATTGCCTAGAACGCCCAAATCTGGAAACATGCTTTTATCCTATTAAAGTTGTGCCACTACTTCCTTCGAAGTATGGATGAAGTGAAGAGTTCCAATTACCTTCACAAATCATGGATTTCAGCCGCAACAAAGTTTTGTGGGAAATAACCTCTTTTTGTAGTTTGTTCGTTGAGTAATTCTCCTAGATATCACTCCCCATTCAAAAGTCTTTCTGTTGGCTGATAGAGGAAAAAGAATGGGCCAACAAAAAATACAAAATCAAGTAGGAGAGCCTGAAAAACTGTAGCCCAAACTGAAAGAGAGGGATTGAGAGCTGGAAATATCTATGGCACCATCTGACATGAAAGATCTCCTTGTTAAAGGGGACTTCTTTACTGATGGACTCTGGCCTTACACTATTTTGTTGTTGTTATTTTTGAGGGAAGTTCCTTCCAGGCACAGGGTTGTGGGTACTTATTTCCTGGAGGGAGGATCATTTCAACCAGAACCATGTTTGTTCTTGTGTGTAAATATGAAAAAATGAAATCTCTTCTTCCAAGTCACAAATAATTGATACATCATCTTCATGGACCTCTTTACACAGAAATTTAACATTTTTATAGACCACAAGCTATGTGCAGATAAACAAGGGGACAGAACTTGAGAAACAACTCTAAAACCAAAGCAATTTCCCCTCTTAAAGACAACTAATCAACTGTTAATGGTAGAAAAGGAACCTAGTAATAGGTTACATAATGAAGATAACATAATACAGCATAAATACCTACTTCATGTTCCTGCACCAAGAGGTGTATGAAAGTTGGGAGGGCAAAAGATTCAATACAGGATTTTTTTTAAAAAAGCTTTCCTTTGGAGAATAGCATATAAGACCTGTAAACAGAGGCTGATTGTCCAAGCTTTTATAACTGAATTTGAGTTTTTTCAAAAATATATGTATAAAAAGTTCCATCATTAAACAAATATTTTTGGTAAAGTAAGTGTGCGAATTCCATGAGAATGCATAATTCTATTTTATGAGCAGAACTGGGTAGACTGCAGATGAGGCTATGGTTTCTTTATATTCTGTAAGGTTAGTACTTGGTTATAGTCCAGAAGAAGTCCTTTAACTTTTTCATGAAATTTCTCTCTATAGTGGTTGAAGTGCATAATACTTTCTGGTTCTTCTTCAAACCAAAATTTGTCAAACTCATAAACCAGATAACCTGTAAAGAAAACAAAATAAAGTTCTACAGGACCTGTGATCCATTCTTTTCTACTTTAGGCTGGGAAGATCCATCAGAACCACTCAGCCTAGAGAAAGAAGGCGGTGCCTCATTTTAATCAATAGCAATTCTTCTGGATAGCGTAGGAGTAACTAGCAAGAATGCATGCCTTAGAAAATATTAGATATTTATTAAATTGATGCCTGCTGTATCCATCCACCCAAATTTATCCAATGAAGAAATAGTCGTCAGACATCCAAGTTATAATTCTTGCTTTGGAGGAGTAATGGAGGTAAATGTTTATTTTTCCTTTAAACTATGCTTGAAAATAAATCCATAAGCATGTTAGAAGCATCAGAGCACTAAAATATTTTTAATATGTAACAAACTGGCTGAGTATTAGATGTCCTAATAGCTGGTCCAGGGACAATCGCATATTACTGCTAACAACTAAAGGAGTTACTCATTTATCTCGGTGGTAGAGGCCTGGACTTTTGGTAATGAAGGTAGTCCTGCCCCTGATAATTTATAAGAGTTACAGATACTCACAATAAAACTGATGAAAGTGTTCCATCTGTGGCAATCCAGGGACCAAGTTGTAGAGGTGAGACTTTAAAGCACCACTCTTTAGTAAACTATAAGCCATTTCTGTCAAATTGATCCCAACTATTGCATAGGAATATCTGAAACACCAAAAACATTTCCTATTAGATACTAATGAAATCCATTCTCCTGTTGATGTTTACAATTTATTCCATTTTCTGGGACTAATTTGTATAGAGACAAATTATTATCTGCCAAATTATTACTATTCTATATTTTGGGTCATTCTAGGAATCAAGCAAGGTCTGTCTCAAGTGTATGGAGCATTTTTGTCTGAAGTGCCTTGTACATCTAAGACTATAGTGAAGTTAAAAGATGGACTGTGTAAGAAATCTAAAATTTCATCAACAGCAATGTGGTGAATGTCCCCATTAACCGAACAGAGGCAACAGGATAGGAAGTTTAATCAGCATTGTGATGGGGTGTACCAGCCCCGCACTGGTTCAGCAGGGGTTAATCATTCTGTGGGTTGAGGAGGCCACACCCCTGGCCTCTGCTGGGCATGCTCTGGCTATAAAAGGGAGCAACTCAGCTCTGTCAGGGCTGACTACCAAAAGGAACAGAGGTCTGCTGCAGGTTCCTGCAGAGGGACAGCTGACACTCCAGGACTCAGAGGCCAGACAGACTGCGTTGACCAATGACTCGCAGGCACTCTACTCCAGAGAGGGAAGAGAGGCCATGGGACTCCCAAGATGACTAGCTGTGGAGGAACGGGTAGGAAGTAACACAGGGGAACTTAACAGGAAACCAGTCATAGAACTGGGGCTTGGCTCAGCATGTTTTGGCAGGATCCCTGCTGAGCAGGAGGTGGGCAACCCTGCCACCATCAGGGCCTTGGGTTGGGACCCAGTGGAGTAGGGAGGGTCTGGGTCCCCCTACCCTGGCTGCTGCCCGTCCTGAAGTGGCAGCCCACCTCTCCAGCCGCTCTGGCCACGAGCCCACACGGCACTGCAAGGGAGGGTGGCCATATTGACTCTGGCCATGAGCCCACATGGCCCTGTGAGGGAGGCTAGCCTATTGATCCTGAGCATTAGACCTTACTGCCCAGAAGCCAAGGGCAGTCAACCAGACTCAGCCATGGTGTTATAATGTCCCCCACCCCCCAAGGGTGTACCAGCCCTCGATAAGCATATAGAAAAGTAAAAGCTTTAAAAAAAAAAATTCTAAATCTGGTCGTCTACCCTCTCTCCAAATCTACTGTAATATTAACATCACTGCTACCAAAAACACGGCCATAGCAAGAGAGCTGGCCAGCAGAAGCTCAAGTAGATCTTGTGTATTTTCATACGTGATACAATTTTCAAAGCTTGTTATAGAGTACAATGTGTTAAATCAGGTACAGTTGCACACACAATTTGAGTCATTGAGTAAAGTGCATTTTGGGGCTTTGTACAGGATATCCTGTTTCCTCCGGGAGGTGGAATTCCGAATACAGAAAATAAACCTGAATGACAACTCTAGGTTTGCTCCTGTTATGTATGGGACTCTTTTGGCTTAAAAAGCCTAATGATGAAAAATTAGAACAAGTTCAGCAGTCACAAAAAGTGTATCATTTTGAAAAACAAATATGTTAAAGGATACATGTATATGTTTTCATTGCAGAAGTCTTCATTAATGACTGCTCACAACTTAAATAGATAGGGCAACATTAATGACAAGGCACAAGATGAAGCCTTCCCCTGCTTACTGTATTAATTATTGAGATAAACCAGAGTTAACTGGGGATTGGGTGGATGAAAGAGGAGTAGTGTCTTGTAAAGGGTGAGAGAGCTTGTTTATAATCTTTGATGTGTTTTAAATATTTGTACAGTCCAGACCACTGGGTGGGCACTTAATCTATGAAAGTGTATGTACTGCACTTTGCACAGTGTGCATGAATACATACATCTTGAGTAAGTTTGTGTTATTAAATAGAATAAAGGATAATTACTATTCCCTTCCAAGTTTAATCCAAATCTGTTAGCCATACCATTTTTGGGGGATAAGGGATTGGAGTGTTTTGCTACAATGAAACTAACTGAAGACTACAGATTACTAAGGGCACTAAATAGACTGTTTGGAACAAATACATAGCTATACACACACACAGTTTTCAACTCAGATGCTGTGACCACATCTCCAAAATTACAAATTAATTCCGTTTGTCAATTTCCTGTAGGAAGTGTCAAATGTTTTCCTCTTAAAAAATTCAGAAGATCCTCCCATATAGACTGGGCACTCTACAATCTAAGATCTTTGTGAGATCTTAGGCCCGTACAAATGGCTTACCCCAATTTTGGATGATTTGAACGAGAGAGGATCTGGCGAGCTTCACTGGTGTAATGTTTACTAAAATACCTGAGAAGGAGAAAACAAAAACTCAATCTAAGGATTACTACATAGGTAGTTAGATTTAATTAATAAACATTTTCAACAACAGAAAAATGGAGTTATAGACAAATGTGTATTGGAGAAAGAGTACAGAATGAAAACCAATAAGATAAAAGTAAATGGAAAAAGTGATCTGTAACAAGGAATGACATGATAAAGGAGAACAGTAGGATAGGAACCTTCCAGGGAACTCAGGATTCCCCCATTCAAGTAGGTTGTATTCATGAATTTTCATATCTTCTGTTCTACATCATTAGTACTTTTAACTTAGTAATAACTATATTTTGAAGAGTTTTGATCAGTTACTCTCCCAGCTATAGCATAGCAGGCCTATCATACAGGTGTATAATTCTTTATTCTTAAACTCCTTTCTGCTTTTCTTTTCAACTCTGTTACAATTTGTAACTAAAACTCATCTATCCAACTAGTTATTAACAATGCAGCTCACTGTTGAAGAACTGTTTACTCATTTAGAAAGGGGTTCCTTTTCCATTATTCAGTAATGTATTACAGTAGTCAATATATTTGTTTTCTTCTACTCAAGTAGTCATTGCAGAGGGAATTAGGAATAATACTAAATAAGAATTCATAGACAGAGAAAAAAAGTATTTATTTTCACTTACACCAGATTGACTAATCCCAGCATGCCCATTCCTCTGAAGTCTGTTTTGGGATCATCACCTTGGAAACCAATGTCACACCACTGCTTGGTGATTCTAGCCTTCAGATTTTCATGAGGTATCAGCAAATTCCAAAGCTACATAAACATACTTCCATGTTACAAATAACAGAACTGCCAATGTTCTTCCTAGTCATGTTATTCAGAACACTTATTGATGCATGTCAGATAACAAAATCTTGCATTTAAGACAAGACTAAAAATTGGGAGACATGGATTCTCTATGCTTTGTCACACTTCCTTTTTTTTCCTCTTGGGTAACTCACTTAAGCCCTATATATACACTAAAATTACAACCAAGTCAGGGACAATTAACTCCCTTAGAGCCTGATACTCATTTACACTAAGGCCCCTTTTATCTGGCAGTGCAAAAGGGCTCTAAGTGGATGTAAAAGAGCATCAGGCCCTTCATTTTTCTGGTTGTCAGTCTCCTCATACACGTAAACCCCAATTCTGCAAACACTTGTGCAAATGCTTAATTTTAGGCACAAATATGATCATTGAGTTCAATGAGATTACCCATGTACTTCAATTGGAACACGTGCATAAATCTTTGAAGGATCAAAGCCACAGTGAGGATAAATATCTATATACAGGGATATTGGAATGTTAAATTCACTAGTATTTGTAAAAACAAATTTCATGAGTGAAAGGCACCATAAATGATCAAGTATTTTTGGTATGCAGAGTTTTGTTTTGTTAAAATGTGTGCTACTATTTTTGCAATTTCAAATGGAATAAACTTACTGTAAGAAACCCTTAAGAAACAGAGCTATTAGTCTGAGATTTGCTTTAGAGTATTGTTTAACTTCAGTGAGTCAGTTTTACAACTTGAAAATAGTAAATATTTTTAAAATGCCAAGGTGCTATTAAAATAATTAGCAGTAAGAGGATAAATTAAGCTCTCATATACTGTTGGATACAGTCAAGGGCATTTGTCAGAGACTTATTGAAAGGGCACCTGTCAGCTGGTTTATTTCAATTTTTAAAATCAATTTTGCTCTTCTAGTTTATAAAGACTAAACAGCCTGACAGTTAGAAATTTAAAGAAAGCTAAACTTCTACGGCTAATTTATTAGCATTCAATTATTCTAGTAATAGTTTAGGACTCAGAATTCCGAGACTCCTTCACCTGGATTAGTTGCTTTTCATGTTCTTCATTATCTGAATCATATGGAACTTTCCTCAGATTTTCCACCTCCAAATAAAGTTTCTTATAACCAGATATCTGCAGCAAACATACCTGCAGGCTTGTCTTAAAACTGAAAAACAAAAAACCCCACAGGATCTTTAGGCAATACATGATGGGATGGCCATAGAGTCATCATTGCTTAGATCATACGAAAAAGAGAGTACAGGTCCTGCAGGATTTAATGTGACACACCAAACTCCTACAAGCTTTGCCCAACTGAAAAAACAAAACAAACAAACAACTTTCTTCCAGAGAGAAATGTATTACTTTCCTCACCTCAGAATGTTACACTAGTCTAAACTCCAGAATGGGTAATATTTCATCCAGCTCCAGTGACAAGTCTAAGGGCAATACTTCAATGCTGCACAGCTGGAAATGGGAACATTGCATCTCTGGAAAAGGGGAAAACCGCAGCTTTCCAACATTAAATGTCACACTTGCTTCTAGATTTCAAAGGTCAGAAGATATCCCAAACTTTGAAACTGTGGATGGCTTTTATGTAGAGAGAAAGATCATTTTTAGAATTGTTTTAAACTAGTTATACTTTTCCCTCTTCAAGGCCTATACAGTTACAGGTGGAGAGACACAAAAGAAACTGATCTAACAAGCTTTTTTTTTTTTAAATGAACTCTCTAAAACAACAGTATGTAATATAGGTCATACAGGATATGTGATGATATGGTAAAGATCTGATTGAGATGACCAGTACAATTTAATTGGGGTTGGCCAACTGTGAGTAATGCAGTTATCCCAAACTCATGCCAATAAAACCTTTATACCACACCACGTCATATGCAGTCTCCTCATATATACATCTTAAATCCTTAAAAGTGAATTGCAAAGTATGATGTACATACTGTATTCCCCAAATAACAAGATCAGATTAGGTGATTCCTAAAATAATCATCTTTCTCGTCATATACCTATACAATGTTATAAAAGGCAAAATGATGTGGTCCACTTAGAGGTACCTGTGTAACAGTAGCAAACAACATACCCTGTATCCTTCTGTATATTAATCTTCTTTTCTTTCATTATACCCATGACACATTTTTCCACTTCAGCTTCACCAACATGTATAGCATGTCTTAATACCTAAGAAGTGAACGTAAGTCAAACAATGAATACAAAACGTAACATCAATTTTGTTCTTATTATTTACTAGTCTGTTTATGCCCATTGCATTTGCATCTTTTAAAAATGAAAAAATATGGGACAGTTGTCAAGGTAAATACATTTTGTGGTAAGTCCTTAAGTGTGCTTGCTTTGCCTGTGAAAGAATGAGGATGGTTTCATTCTTTCTTTTTCAGTCAGCTGGTAAAATACAGTAATTAAAAAACATGCATCCTGGACTGTGATCTCAAGATAACTAGTGTCAGGCCTGATAATTTTTGGAGGAGAATCCTCAAAGGCAAACTTAGATCCGGAGAGAAGTTGTATTGGAAATTCACTATAACCTAGATTCTGATACCCTTCAACATGCTAAATAGTACCTTACTCCACTTACTTAGTCCTACTGAAGTCAATGGGATTATTGAGGAGCAAGCTAATTCTCAGTGACATTCTTCCTCCAATTCAATAATGAACTAACACATCATCGTAAGGAGCAAGTGTACTATTGGAAGTGAGATGCCAGTGTTAGGATGAGACAGAGGCCTTGACTATGTTGATACTAACAGCATGCCATACTTTTCCAGAGTGAAGATATTAACCAAAGTCCAAGACAAATTCCAGGACCTAGGTTAATATCTTCATTCTGGAAAAGTGTGGCACATTTGCTGCTAGTAACAACAAATAGGTTGAGACAGAGGCCTTAACATACACATTAACGTCCTTGAAAGAGCAAAAACAACCTGCATCAAGACAATAGTTATCAAAGCTCAACTCAGATGGACAGATTGTTATCAGAAAGGAGGATGATAGAGTCTACAAAAAAGTCACTTATGGTTAGCTGAAACTTGGAAAGTACAGGAAGGACGGTGAATGTAAATACTTTAAAGTTACCCATAAGCAGAATATTAACTTATGCGGCATAAATGTTGATAACTTCAAAGACACAGCCAAAGACCAACATGAATAGAGATCACATACCAATAAACGCTGTAAATACCTGAAGGTCACACTTACAGGATGGGGGAACTCTATCCTAAGAAGCAGCGACTCTGAAAAAGATTTGGGGGTTGCTGTGGATAATCAGCTGAACATTAGCTCCCAGTGAAATGCTGTGGCAAAGAAGGCTTTGGATGCATTAGTCCTTGATAAACTGGAAAGGGTTTGGAGAAGAGCCACAAGAATGATTAAAAGATTAGAAAGCATGCCTCACAGCAACAGACTCAAAGAGCTCTCTATAGCTTAACAAAAAGAAGGTTGGGAGAGTGACTTGATTACAGTCTAAGTACCTACACGGGGAACAAGTATTTAATAATGGTCTCTTCAATCTAGCAGAGAAATCCAATGGCTAGAAATTGAAGCTAGACAAATTCAGATTGGAAATAAGGTGTAAATTTTTAACAATGACGGTATTGACCTTGGAACAATTTACCCAAGATCATAGTGGATTCTCCAACACTGGCAATTTTCAAATCAAGTTAGATGTTTTTCTAAAAAATATACTCTAGGAATTATTTTGGGGAAGTTCTATGGTCTATTATACAAGAGGTCAGTCTAGCTGATCACAATAGTCCCTTCTGGCTTTTGAATCTATTAATCACTTTGAGAAAGATGCACAAGGTTAGTAGCAACTGGACATCTAACATAGTGAAAATGAGATAGGATCAGAGGCAAAAATAGGGAAAGAAAAAGTTTAAATTACTTAGACAAGTTAGGTGTCTTCAAGTCAGCAAGGCCTGATGAAATACATCGTAGAATACTCAATGAGCTGACTGAGGAGGTATCTGAGCCATTAGCGATTTATCTTTGAAAAGTCATGTAAGACAGGAGAGATTCCAGAGCGGGAAAAGGTCAAATATAGCGTCCATCTATAAAAAGGGAAATAAGGACAACCTGGAGGAATTACAGACCAGTCTGCTTAACTTCAGCACCTGGAAAGATAATGGAGCAAATAATTAAGCAATCAATTTGTAAACATCTGGAAGATAAGGTGATAAGTAACTGTCAGCCTAGATTTGTCAAGAACAAATCATGTGAAATTAACCTAATATCTTTCTTTGACAGGCTAATAAGCCTTGTGGATAGTGGGGAAGCAGTAGATGTGGTATATCTTGACTTTAGTAAGGTTTTGATATGGTCTTGCATTACCTTCTCATAAACAAACTAGGGAAATACTACCTACCTGGACCTACTATAAGGTGGTTGCATAACTTGTTGGAAAACTGTTCCCAGACAGTAGTTATCAGTGGTTCACAGTCAAACTGGAAGGGCATATCGAGTGGGGACCCGCAGGAATCAGTGCTGGGTCCGGTTCTGTTCAATATCTTCATCAATGATTTAGATAATGGCATAGAGAGTACACTTATAAAGTTTGTGGACAATACCAAGCTGGGAGGGGTTGCAAGTGCTTTGGAGGATAGGATTAAAATTCAAAATGATCTGGACAAACTGGAAAAACGGCCTGAAGTAAATAGGATGAAATTCAATAGGGACAAATGCAAAGTACTCCCCTGAGGAAGGAACAATCAGTTGCACATATACAAAACGGGAAATGACTGCCTAGGAAGGAGTCTGCAGAAAAGGATCTGGGGGTCATCGTGGATCACAAGCTAAATATGAATCAACAATGTAACACTGTTGCAAAAAAAGTGAACATCATACTGGGATGTATTAGCAGGAGTGTTGTAAGCAAAACACAAGAAGTCATTCTTCCGCTTTACTCCGCACTGATTAGGCCTCAGCTGGAGTATTGTGTCCAGTTCTGGGCATCACATTTCAGGAAAGATGTGGACAAATTGGAGAGAGTCCAGAGAAGAGCAACAAAAATGATTAAAACTCTAGAAAACATGACCTATCAGGGAAGATTGAAAAAATTGGGTTTGTTTAGTCTGGACAAGAGATGACTGAGGGGGGACATGACAACAGTTTAAGTACATAAAAGGTTGTTACAAGGAGGAGGGAGAAAAACTGTTCTCCTTAACCTCTAAGGACAGGACAAAAAGTAATGGGCTTAAATTGCGGCAAGGGGGGTTTAGGTTGAACATCAGGAAAAAACCTGTCAGGGTGGTTAAGCACTGGAATAAATTGCGAAGGGGGGTTGTGGAATCTCCATCATAGGAGACGTTTAAGAGCAGGTTAGACAAACACCTGTCAGGGATGGTCTAGATAGTACTTAACCCTGCCATGAGTGCAGGGGACTGAACTAGAGAACCCCTTGAGGTCTCCTCCAGTCCTACGATTCTATGATTGGGGAAAAAAGGACCATGCATCATGCCAAGTTTTCAGAGGGAGCTTACACATCCCTATGTGACATCTGTTCGCAACCTTGTGCCTCACAGATTGGCGTATACAGCCACAACAGAAAACACAAGATGCTACAATGTCATTGTTGGATATTACAGACAGCTATATTATACCAATCTCTTAGTGGCACTATGCAGTCATAAAATAGTTTTCATTCCATTCCTGAACAGCTACATTTCAATAATGTGAGATGGGATTCGTAATACACACACAGACACACAAAGGGAAACCATTTTGGGGTAAAAAGAAAAGGAGTATTTGTGGCACCTTAGAGACTAATAAATTTATTTGAGCATAAGCTTTCATGAGCTACAGCTCACTTCATCGGATGCACCTTTTTCGGATACAGACTAACACGGCTGCTACTCTGAAACCTGTCATTTTGGGGTAAGATACTCTATACATTTAAGATATTAAAATCATAATCAAGACCTCTTGTAGAACCCACTCAATGTGCTCTATCATAACAACAACAATTTATTTATGTGGCAGTCACAAAAATTCTCTTTCAGTACCACTTGGCAGTGATTAGACAGAAAAGAACAGTCACTCATCTTCATATCTACAAAGAAAAAAATTTAGTTTAAGATAAGCAAATCTGATGATCTAAAACTTTAACAGTATCCCTTTAACTGGTGCTGAACATATCAAAAGTAAAATGAACTTGTGACATACTGCTGAACAGCCAAGTATGTATTCATATTCCATTTGCCTCAATTATACAGCACGACCACATGACAGCATAGCATAATGGTATACATCTAGCATTGAAAGGATTACATATCACATTTCCATTTTCTACAAAAGATTTTTAGTCTGCAAATCGCATTTATCCTGTCCTACCTAATAGCTTCATTTTTGCTGTGCAGATCACCGATGCTTTGATACCATGACAAAAATTATATTAGGAATTAGACTAATTTTTTCCTATTCAAATAATCTATTCAATTTTACATATATTTCTGAATGAGAGTGGAAATATGGATAACACTGAGCATATTGAGCATTATTCTGTATAAAACTTTAACAGAAAAACAGTGAGAGAAAATTTTACTCCAGCACATATTCTGTTATGAATACACACCCAAAAGACTCTGAAAGCTATCAAATTCTACAAGTAAGTATTCCTTTAAGGGCATATTTGTCTCTAAAAATTGGTTTTCTGGTTATAATGTGTTATCTCCATCAAATCCTACCTTACTCTTTGATAATCCCAATGAGTACTCTGTAATACAAGACAAATAATTAGATCACTACAACTGTTTTATATATTGAATTCAAACTTTTGACGAGTTACATCATTGACAACACTACTGAATTGAAAACCTTTTGCATGATGTAAATCTATCACCATCTTTATGAATATAGCAATCTGAATAGTCTTGTGGTTTTTAAATTTACTTCATTACAACCTCAGTTTAACAGCCTGGAAAGATGAGGTGCCAGTTTGAAAGAGAAAAGGGTTCTTGGTGAAAATATAGCTGTTGTGTATTTAGGAATATCTTTCCAAGAGCATTAAAATAAGTCATTTATACTAACAGGAGTTTAAAGGAACAGTAAACTTCAAAAGATCATCATACTTCATACATTTTCCTACTATTGCTACAACGGCAACCAAGATTGACTTACCAGTAAGAGAAAATACTTATTTTAGATGTATATATTGCATTTGACATCACTTTGTGTGTCGTCATTTTCAGTATTTCCCCTTTATAATTAATTTCTATGTTTGTGTGGGTCTTTCAAAGAAAACAATTTTTTTTGCTTTAAATAGGAAACTGTGATGGTAAAAAGAAAAAAATTGGCCAGAGACTCAGCAGAAGGTGTAACGCCATTTAGCTCGTTTTTTTAAGCGGACTATATTTCCCTTGGTTAGCAGGGAAAGGAAAATATATCTTTTAGACCTTTATATTTTTTTTATAATTAAAGCTTCAGTAAAAGCATTTATAGTTTATATACAGTATGATGCGCTTTGCTTTTAAAGTAAACTTAGAGTCCCCGAGAAAGGCATTGGCCTAGCAGGCAATACAGGAAACAAGTTACAAAACAGACACAACACAGGAAGGGTGTCAGCTTTCTTACCATGCTTTGTCAAAATGCTTCTAGAAGACCTATAGTTGCAATTCCAGCAATGAACATAGTAGAGGAATCTAAGGCCCATGTAACCCTTGAGTCTGCCAATAGGAGTACAGTATCGATGATTTAGACCTTTTTTCCCTAGTTGGACCTGATGTGAAACCAACAATGCTTTAGGTATGCCTTCAAACTGCTGTGACACAGATTAACTGTTACCAAACCTAACTGCAAGAGGAACTGGCTGACCAGTTGCAAGCTCTAATGTACTTTTTAAAAGATTACATTCTTTATTACCTATCTTTAGCGTCCGTTGTGAACCTTCCTTTGAGCCACCACAGATACGCTGTAATTCACATTTTCCAGTGAGCAGCCTCAAGATCCATTTCAGCCAAAACCGGAAGAAGTTACTATACAGGTATCCCCATAAGTACACAAACATTTTCTGTACAAAGAAAGTGACAATTGATCACAGGCCATTCATTGCCTGACACTACAGAAAAAAATTGTACAATCTATCTGGGCTGCTAGCTCCTGCTAACGACGGTAATATCTGCTCCCTCTCACGTGGCTTTCGTCTGTCAGAAATGAAAGGCTGCGTCCTCCCTTAGCTGCAAAGGGTAAAGAAGGAGAGATGCTTTGTACCAGAGCTGGACGCGGAAGAGCAGGCAGCTGGGGAGGGTCAATGCCAAGCTTATGGGGGGGAGAGGAGGGACTGGAAGCACTGCCAGAGCAGGACACAGGCTGTCAGGCACTGTCCTTAGTTTCCTCTTCCAGCTCTGCCCAAACACCTCCGCACTGCCCTGCAGCCCCCTAGGTGCAGCCCGGGGCGGCGGTGGGGGGCGGCTACGCCCTCCGAGGAAGATGCGCAGGGGCTGGGGGAGGGGCAGAGAGGCTCATCGAAAGCGAGGCTGTTGCCATGTCGCTCATCCGGACAGCTGTCGCGGGGGGCGCACAACGCCCGATGTCTGCTGAAAGGAGGGGAGGGGGTTGGCCCAGGGCCAGCTGCTGCCCCCAGCCGGTCAGCGGGGAGCAGGTGGATGACGGGTCCTCGCACGGGACGCCCCGCTGGACTAGCCGCCTACCCCCTACCCCCTCCCGGGCGGGGCAGCAGCTCTGCCCGCGCGTCCTGCCACGAGGGCGCGTCCCGCGCCCGGGTACCGCCAGCAGGCCAGGCCCTGCTCACATCGTCCCAACCAGTGAGCGGGGCTGGCTCCGGCCTCGCCCCCTGACTCTTGCGACCCCCGGGAGGAAACCTGTCCCCTGCTGACCCGGAAGTGATTGATGGGCGTGGGGGAAGGGCCAGTCAAACCGCCGTTCTGGGGTTCTGGGGTCGCTGAAGTGCCCCGCCCCTCGGCTAGCGTGTCGCGTGCGTAACCAGGGGGGCGACCTTAGCGAGGCGGGCCGGGACGCGGATTCCTCGCTCCGCGGTGCCTGGGCGCCCGCCGCAACCTCCAGACCCGCCAAGCCCCGGCCGGCACGAGCCGTTCCGCGAGCAGGGACAGCGACGAGGTGCGCGTAGCCCGCTCCCCCCCACCCCCACCCGCGCTAGTTCCGCCCGGGCCCCGGTTCCGCAGCCCCAGGTGGTGTCGGGCAGCGGTTAGTTGTCGGGTTCCTGAGGCGTGAAGGGGGGACTCGTGCCCGGCGGGCGCTGGGCGCTGCCTCCTTGTTGCCTGCGGAACGCGCCTCCTCGGCGCTGCAGTCGCCGGGCCGCTCAGCCCTGGCTCATTGTGAGGTGGGGTAGGTAATAGCGGCGTGCGATGGGCACCTGTTCCTGCTCCCCCGGCAGACTCCGCCTGGCGTGTCCTAGCCAGAGGCCCGTGTGCCGTCGCCTGGGCGTGCGTGTAACACACCTGGAGATGGGCAGAGCCAGGCGGCATGACGTTAACAAGCACGTGACCGTGTCTAGCTGGCCAAGTAATAAGCAGCAGACCGTCCAAAAGGACCAGAAACCTCTTCTCTCTGTCTGCCACCATCGTTGCTGTTCCTAGGGTCAGGCTGGCTCTGCTGTGTTTGATTGAGATTTACTATAAGGGTCTCCCTCCTGTCCTAGGTCTGAAAAAATGAAGAATATGTGTGAGAAAAGCAGAATAGATGACAAACATCTCAACAAAGCCCTGGTCTGTAGGCACAGCGTGCACGGACAGAAGGGTGTAGAAACACAGTCTCCCTAAGTGCTCTTCCATCTGTGTCTGTACAGGGGAGTTGACAGCATAGCTGTGTCAGCCAAGGGTGTGGGTTTTTTTTTTTCTATATCAAGTTGTTTGAACTCTTCAATGTAGACCAGATGTTGGTAGGCAGAGGGGGAAAAGGTTTGTCTTTTTTTTTTTTTAACAGTAGCACTAAAAGAAAGTGTATATAAAGAGCTCAGGTGCATTTGATTAATTTAAAATAGAAAGAAGCCAAGGTAGCAAGACTAACCAGAAATTATTTTTTTCAGCTTAGGCTGACTTGAAGATTGTGTCCCTGTAACCTGCTGATCTGTACGTGTTATGTGCACGGGTGGGGACTGTAATAAATTTGCATCCTTTAGGTCAGGCACAGAGGCAGATATATAAGATGTGCTATACTGTGGTTTACATCTCTCACTGTAGGATGCACACACTTATAGTGACCTGTGCTTGGCCACATGAAAGCTAGAAGTATGCTATATGCAAGGTTGAGCCTGAAGACTACCCAGTAAATACAGCAACTGATCTATCGAAAAGCAGCTGCCTAGTAGGTAGGGCAAATTGCTGTAAATGCATTATCCCAAGACTTGGCATCCCTCATTGGTTGTTTATCTATTACCCAGGTCTGTTGTTTATCTATTACCCAGAGCACTCAGGCATGTGAAATCTAAGATGACGTTACCCTCTGGCACCTTGAAAAACTATGCTCGGGCAGCTTGGCCTTGTCATTTTCTGAACCTCAGGGTATGCCTATGATGATAATAATGCTGCACTGTCCCCTCTATGACCATTAGCCCCCTCAGATTCTCTGCTCTTCCCCCTCCCCTGAACCATGCTCCATCAACCCCACCCTCAATATGTCACACTTCCCATGAGATAAAAGGACGGTCCTCTCATGGATCAGTAATTGGTTAAAAGATAGGAAACAAAGGGAAGGATTAAATGGTCATTTTCACAATGAAGAGAGGTAAATATCCGGGTCCTCCAAGGATCGATACTGGGACCTGTGCTGTTCAGCATATTCGTAAATGATGTGGAGAAGAAGGTGAAGAGTGAGGGTAAAATTTGCAGACAATACAAAATTACTCAATATTGTAAGTCCAAAGTTTTGTGTGAAGAGTTACAAAGGGATCTCACAACACAGTGACAAAATGACAGATGAAATTTAGTGTTGATGGGTAAGGCTGCATGTCTGTCATGGAGGTAGTGGAAGTCATGGATTCCATGACTTTCCATTACTTCTGCAGCAGCCCATGTGGCTGACCTCAGGGCTGCCCAAGCAGCTGGCTCTGGGGCCTGCAGCTCAGGCAGCCCCAGGGATAGCCACACCGGCCACTGCTGGAGCAGCCTTATAGACAGCTGATCAGGTGGCCCTGCAGTCAGCCGCACTGGGCACTGCTGGAGTGGCCCCAAGGCCAGCCACACCAGCTACTGCTCAGGCAGACCCAGGCAGCCAGTGCAACAGCTAGTCAGTGGTCCTGGGGGCGGCCAAAGCAGCCGCTGCTTGATGGCCCTGGCAGCTGGCCGTGGGGACCACCTGGGCAACGGCTGGTGCTGCTGGCCACATGGAATGCCCAAGCAGCAGCAGTGCCTTCAGTGTCCCCCCAACCAAGAGCAATCCCTCTATGGGTTGGCAGGACCTTTTCCCAGTGAAAGAGTCTTTACACAGTAATATCCTTAACTTGTATTTATTAGCAATTGATCAACAGAATACACATGCTAAACATACAATGCTCACCACTCCCATATGGCAGATGAACTTTTCCTGGTGCCCAGTCAGGATTGGGTCATGTGGGGCTGTGTCCAGTATAGTTGGCAGGATTTGAGGGTTCTGGCAGCTTTGATCTTGGGCTGTGTCCTGGAATTAGGTTTCAAATAACTTCTTTTTGGGACCCAGTTTATATAGTTAAACTTAGGTCCTGCTTATCTGTACCGTAACCAATTATTTTTACTAAATATTGCAAAACAATTCTTTAACCATTACTAGCACATTACTTCCTACACACAAGAATCCATTCAAATGTTGTGAAACTAGTTACGCAACAGACAGAAGCAACTGGAGGTTTAAAAAGGGGCATTTATAGATTTTTTTTTTCCCAGTTGCAACTGTTGATAAGCATTTCTGCCAAACAGAGTGTTATCTTGCAAAGATTTTCTTTAAACATCTTAATGTTTGTCTGTAGATCTGTTATTCTTCCTTAACAACCAAATATTCTATTGTTTTGTACAGTTTAGATGGGACATGACTCTGCACTTTTAGCTAATGGCAGCTGCTGCTCCTTACTGCAAAAAGCCACAGACCACACTCCCATCTCTGCATGATAGCTCTGGGCCCTGCTGAGGCGCAGCACCAGACCAGCAGTGTAGTTGAGTCAGGGTTAGTTGAGGAGCTGGGACTGGCCAGGCTCTAGAATCCAGAGGTGATAGGAAAGCCACGTCATTCCCCACAGCTCAAGGAGGAATTTGCAATAGCTATGTCCAGTAACAACAGTATGGCAGCCTGGTCCTACCCCCTTCCTTGGAGTGGTGCTACCAATTGTAAGGACTGTCAAAATCAGATTCAGGACTCACATAATTTGTCAGACCACTCTGTTTATTAGCAAAGCGCTTTGCTAATGCACCCAGATGTGAGCCCCTCTCTGAGGCTAAGCCAAAGCCAATTTAACATAAGAGATGAAAGCAGAAACTGACAAATATACATACATATCTTATTTGCATACTAACGTTTACCAATCTCCTAGCTCAGTAGGAGCTCTAAGTTAGTTTGAGGACCCATTGTCTCACACTCCTTAATATTTCTCTTCCTGACAACTATATTTCAACAAACCCTTCAAGTAGCATTTCTTTAATGAATTATAATTTCAATATAATTCATTCTACTTTCACAGGACAGAGCATTGTGATGCATCATGCTCCAAAACTGCAGAGATAGAATGAGTAACTTCAGTTCCCCGCTACAGGATACATGTACAATAAGTGTAGGTGAAGAAAATGGAGAGGGAGAAAGAGTACATGTGCAGTGGGTGCATTTCTGCAGGGCTCCAGTACTGTTACGTTTGTTACTACACTGCTATTACCAGATCCATTTCAAGATCATGGTACTTATTTTTAAATATCTAAAAATAGTTTCAAGCTACATACCTGAAGAACCACCTGTCAATATATTTGCATCGTAACAGCTGTAATTGACAGAAAAGAGGTCTAAACTCACTTGGACTAGCTATAGGAACCTGCTACCACCTGAGATAGGGCTCAGCCTGAGTATTGCACACTTTCTAATGGAAACCATAGTAGAAATGCACACTTTCGTAGGTTGTGTTGCTCCTGTGAGGAGAGTAAAGGGAATTTCACTTGCTTTGAATTGGACACAAAAGTTGAATTATAAGAGGGCAAACTGATTTGCTTGGCCATGTTCTAATATCTCTTGAAATGCAGGAAAAAGAATTTGTTCCTATACCTTTCGTATAATATCAAAGGTTGCCAAGCAGGACTGCTGGTTCCTCTTTTCCAGATCATATCAGAGGTGACCCAGCAAGTTTGGCATTCTCTCTAATTAAAGTTTCATATTTTCTTAAAGCACAATGCACTCCAAAAGAATGTGATGTTTGAGTTGAATGTGCAATCAAATGATCATGCATTGAAAAAAATATTAAAAAGGTGGGGTGAAAGTTAATGGATAAGAGGGCCATGTTAAGAGGTAGCAGCTGGGTTTTATGCTAGACCCTTTTAACCTGTTTTACAGTGTAACCTCTTAAATGAATTTACTCTCTTTCACAATGTCCCTTGTTACTTGGAAGTGCTACAGCATGAAAGTAGATCAGAGAGTGTTCTGGGGCTTGTATTTCCTACGATGCTGTCTGCTGTTCAGGATGTTTGCTTGCCTAGTTGTGTTGTGGAATGATAGCGCTGTCACAGATAATTAAATAGAAGAGTTCTTAGTTGGTACCCACTTGTAAAATAGATATTTTTTTTTAATTGTGTTTGAACTGAAATACCAGACTCGTACATGGGGTGAAATTAGTGGGATTTTTGCCCTTGACTTCAGTAGGGCCAAAATTTCACCCTTTGTATTTTAATTTTCGGAAGCGTGGGGAGAGGAGGTTCAGACAAGATGCACAAGTGCTTGGAAGGAATTAAGAAGTGGGTTGGGTCTCTGGCTCCTTATGTTCTCAAGCCCAAGCACAGATTTCTGCGAGACAACATATTTGTAACCCAAGCACCCCTGTTTCTGACTGGAGCTTTTTCGAAGGTTGCAGCAGGAGTGTTCCAAGAGTGTGGGACTCTGTAACCGTATGCACCTCTGTATTCACACCTTACACCAGAGGTGGGCAAACTACAGCCTGTGGGCCACATCCGGCCTGCAGTACCATCCTGCATGGCCCTTGAGCTCCTGGCTGGGGAGGCTAGCCGTCAGCCCCTCCCCCCCAGCCATGCTGCCACACGGGTAACACGGCTTGTGCCTGCCCACCTCCCAGGCTTTCCAGTGAGCAAGTCCGGCTGCTCTGAGCTGCATGGTAAGGGGGTGGGGAGGTTGGATAAGGGGCAGACAGTTCCGGGGGGCAATCAGGGGACAGGGAGCAGTTGGATGGGGCGGAGGTTCAGGGCAGAGGGTGGTTGAATGGGGTGGAGGTTCGGGAGGGCAGTCAAGGGATGGGGAACAGGGAGGTTGGATAGGCGTGGGAGTCTCGGGGGGCCTGTCAGGGGGGCGGGGGTGTGGATAGGGGTCAGGGCAGTCTGGGGACGGGAGCAAGGGGAGTTGGATAGGGGGTGGGGTCCCGGGGGGGCGGTTAGGGTGGAGGGTCCCGTGAGGGGGTGGTCAGGGGACAAGGGTTGGATAGATCAGAGGATCTGAGGGGGGGCAGTGAGGGGGCCGATAGGTGGTGGGGGCCAGGCTGTTTGGGGAGGGACAGCCTTCCCTACCGGCCCTCCATACAGTTTTGCAACTCCGATGTGGCACTAGGGCCAAAAAGTTTGTCCACCCCTGCCTTACACACTATTGTAATAATCTTTGCACAAAATATGCCTTGTGAGGTATCATTTGAAAACTAATAACTTACTGGTTAATAATGTCATGGCTGACAATATCAACAGTATATGTAAAATTATGAATTACCTGAAATGATGTTACTAGCACTTGTTCAAAAGCAGACAGGTAAAAGTGTTAAAGCTCTATCCTAAACAAAGGAGTGTGGGTTTACCTCAGTTTAGACATAAACAGTAAACAGAGCAATCAAACTAATGGGGAGGGAAGAGTGGAGATGGCAAGAAACAAAACAATTTACATTTTAGCAAACGCTAGTGCAGGAAGAAAGAACATGGAGCTTCCTTCACCACCAGAGTCCATGTCATCTTCCACGTTGCTTCAATAAACTTTACTTTGAGGGGTAACCAGAAGAATCCATACTGTTCTAGAAAGGAAAGGGCAGAATATCCCAAGGTATGTCTTTCATCTAAGAAAACAAAGGAACCTGCATTTTGGGCTGCTGGAGGAGATCCCAAGGGGAGGGAAGGAGTCAGACACCATTTTGCCAGAAGACTTAATTGGGAAAGCCATCTTGAACAAAGCCTGTACCTTGCTAGATTAAGTTTTAGACTTTTACATGTGTGTGTTCACCTTTATTTGCTTGTAACCATTTCTAACTTTATCTCTTATACTTGAACTCACTTAAAATCCTGTCTTCTTTTGTTAGTAAACTAGTTTTACTTTTAATCTAACCCAGGGATCTCAAACACGCAGCAGTCCTGCGGAGCTATTTCCTGCGGCCCGCCATAGGAAATGACTCCCTCTCTCCCCCACTCCTCTCCCCACTGTGCGCCGTGTCCCCGCTCCTCCACCTACCTCCCAGCGCTTCCCACCCCCGAACAGCCGTTTGGCAGCACTTAGGATTTTACAGGAGGGAGGGGGGAGGAGCAGGGACGCGGCACACTCAGGGGAGGAGGCAGAGAAGAGGCAGGGATGGGTTTTGGGGAAGGGGTTGGAATAGGAGCAGGGAGGGGGAGCATGAGCTGTATGCTATTCTGGTTTATGCATCATCAACAGAACTTTTGATTATGAGTCTTATCCAACTCCCATTGAAGTCAATGACATTCTTCCCATTGATTTCAATGGGAGTTAGACAAGACTCTACCTTCCAGTTGCAGAATATAGTGCTGGTAAAGAAGCATAAGTGAGAAAGAACACTGCCTGACTGAAATTTCAAAGTACGTTTGCAGACCTGTGTAAAGGGGTCCACTAGTCCTCATGTGGCCCTCATGGTGATTTGAGTTTGAGATCCCTGGTCTAACCCAACCTAGTTCTGTGTTTGCTTTAAAGTGTATGTTAACTCCAGTTAATGTGGCAAGTTGTTGGGTTTTGTCTCTTTAAAGGATCAAATGGACCTTTTATGCCTCTGAATGTTGCAGGAGAGGGATGGACATTGCAGAGCACATGAGTTCGAGAAAGCTCAGGACTGGGGGTGAGTTGGGGTCACCTGCTAACATTCACCAAGTCTGATAAAGACAAGAGTGTGTCTGGAATAACTTCTGGCAGGCTGTTGGATTCAAAGTGGTTGAATCGGAGTAGTACAATTTACAGAACATGGAGTGCATGAAGGCTGGAAGCCACCAATAGCAGAAGCATTTTAATACAGGTGGTGACACAACATCTCCCTGGTCTGAATTGCACCCCTAAATGTGACAGTGGCATAATTATGCAGGATTTAAACATCTTGCTATTTTAACTGAGATTTATACTTTAAGCACTCGTGTAACAGTTTAAGTGATTCTCAATTGTGCAGACTAGGAACAGTCAAAAGAAAGGTTACCATTTTATTATTTTCAGTTTGTTTATTTCAGATAAGGGAAATAGAACAAAAAGTAAAGCATAAACATGAGCATCAGTGAAGCAACTATAAAGTTATTGCTGGCCAGGTTGGGGAATGACAAATTAAAAGATGAGCATGAACCATAAAAATGGTTGTCTGGGTAGAAAGACAAAGTACATGGACACCAAAAGTGGGAAACAAACACGAGAGCCAAGGAATGGGAGGCACAAAGGCAGAGGTGCCCAGAGCAAAATGGGCAAACGGGCAGATCCCACTGTCCCCAGGAACTCCCTCCATCCAAGGATCACCCAGGAGGGACAGGTTGTGCCCTGCATACAAAAAAGAAGCAGATTATATGGAAGAATATTTTTTCACTTTTGAAAGGTTATGTGAGGTTCATAAAGTTCCAGAAGATAAGAGTCCCCTGATTGCAAAGTTGTGTGGTAAAGCATAAAACATATTTAATGAAATGCTAGTTTAAAAAACTTTGAAATATTGTGAATTTTAAAAATCTGTCTTGCAAAGCTTTCAAATTAACCCTGATCTGTACAGGCTGAAATTCACAAATCTCAGGAAGAGTGCTGGCATGAGTCAATATGTCCAGAAAATGTGTGGCCCAATAAGAAAAAGGAAGAAGTGGCTGACAACTATGACCAATTGTTTGATCTCTTTGCTCAAGAGCATTTTCTAAGTATGTGTTCCGAGATGTAATATAGAATAAATCTTTAAATTCTCTACAGGAAGTTGCCATCCTGCCGCCTGATTCTATTGTACAAGCCCAAATGTCTAATGAGCACAAGACACCGAAGGAGGGACAGAAGCCTGGTGTAAAGGGGAGGACCGTGTTTTACCACTGGGAAGAAAGAGAGTGGTTGGGAACCCAGGTGCTCACCTCCCCAGAATCATTCCTCTGCTGGAAATCCCCATCATACACAACCTGTACAGGAGAATGGTCCAAGGAGGTATCACCAATGTAACTCCACTGAGCACATGAGAAATAAGTGCCCTAAGATAAACTCAGCTCACACCCCATCCAACGCAAGTTAATGCAACTTTCATTAACATAGAGGAACATGTGGGGCCACTGATTAATTTTGTGAGGCCTGAGCCTAAGGAAGTGGACCTGGAGTTTATCAAGGTTGCCAATATATATTGCAAGGAATGGGTAGCCTCAAGGGACATTGGAGTACAAATTTTTCAGGTCAAGGAAAGCGTATTCAGAAAAACTGGCAAGTTACCTGACCAGAAGGTAGAGCTCCTGGCATTAGAGAAATATTAAATAGCTGTACCTCTGGCTAAGGTGCATTTCCAATTAGGAGGCTTGAAAGGTACCTTGAAAGTTGCGATATTAAACAGCACTTCCACAGCAATGCTGGTGGGAAATTATATTTTTAGTATGTTCACAGCTGTTAATATTGTAACCCATAGAAGAGAATTGTGCAGACAAAGGAGCAGCTGTGGGAGAAGGGGACAGCCCCAGCTGAGCAAGAGGAAGCAAAGTGCTTTCAGATATGGGAGGGATTGAAGCCAGCTCCTGCATAGCAAAGGAAAGTAGAATCCTCTGAGACTGGGGGAGGGGGAATTAACCCCTGCTACTGAAGAATCTGTCCCAGTTGTCAGCTGCTAGCATTTTGCAGATGAACCAAGGGTAGCCTGCACTCTAGAGTGCATATGGGGATATGTGCTGAAGGGAACCCCAGTGAGGAGAAATGGAGAAAGTACAAGTAAGCTCATGGGGAAAAGTGTAATCCCTGGGAAACCTTAGAAGTGGCTGATTGTGCCTGCCCAGCACTGTGGGGAATTAATTTTGTTAACACATGATTTTCCTTTTACTGGTCACTTAGAGCCACGAAAATCTATGAGCCGTTTAAAAAAAAAATTACTGGCCAGAGTACAAAATGAGGGGAGAGATTATTGCAGGTCTTGTGAATTATGTCAAAAAAGACCTGCAGGACTGCAGAAAGTTCCTCTTTGCCCTTTGCCTGTAATACTAGAGGTGTTTTATAGGGTAGCAATGGGCGTTGTGGGTCCTATGCTACACCCCACCCAAAGGGGGAAGAAATATATCCAAGTGGTAGTGGATTTTGCCATCGATATCCGAAAGCAGTTGCTCTATTGACAAAGCCTGTTTCTGTGGCAAAAAGCCCTTTTCATTATTTTTAGCAGAGTGTGTTTTCTTAAAAATATTTTATCAGATCATTAGTCAGATTTCATGTCTCAGCTGTTCAGTGACTTATGGAAGTTGTGTGTGGGATAAAACAACTAAAAGCTGCCCCATATTACCTAGAGACAAATGGTGTGGTGGAGAGGTTCAGTGGGACACTGAAATCAAATCTGAGGATGCATGCCCGCAGGTGGGACTAAGATTAGGATGAAATGTTACACTATTTGTTGTTAATAAGGAAGTGCCACAAGAATCTACAGTTTGGCCCATTTGATCTTCTATACGGAGGGAAAGTGAGGGGACTCCTAGCTCTTATCAGAGACTTCTGGGAAGGAGATACTGAGACAGAAAGGTAGCCTATAACTGAATATGTACAAAGGTTCAAGCAAGAGTTAAAGGACATGCTGGAAGTGGTTCAGAGTCACCTTTTGTTTGGCCTGACTGTCCCTGTGGTATGGCATGACCAATATATTTGTAAATGCTCTTTGAAGTAGGAGACTGAGAGTTGCTACTTATCCCTGTGGAAAAAAATGCAAAACTCGTGAAAGGGACCTTTTGAAATGATAGAAGAGGTAACTGAATGTACATACATGCAAAAGACCTCACAGTAATGCTGCCACACAGCTGGTGCATATAAACAGATTTAAAGTTGATCACAAGAGAGAAGCCATGATAAACATAATCTGTTGTTTAGAGGGGGAAACTGAGGAAACCTCATTGATTTGATGGCTGAATGCCAAACTGGCTCATCTCTGGAAAGCCTCAATAACTACAGTGAGTTACTATAAGTTGAGAAGGCAGAGGTGTTATCTGTACTTCAAGCACACAGACAAGTGTTTTCTAACAAGCCAGGGAAGACTCATTTGCTGACTCATAAGATCGTTACTGTAGGATCACAGCCACTTCCCAGCAGGGCGTACTGTACCACTGGCAAGGTACAAGAGCAAACTTGCACAGAGATGCAGAGCATGCTGGACCTGGGAGTGATTACAGAGTCTGACTGCTCTTGGGCATCACCTGTGGTCTTTGTTACTAAGACAGACAACACTGTAAGGTTTTGGGTTGAGTATAGGAAACTCAGTGCTGTCATGGTGCCAGATGCTTATTCTATGCCTAGAATTGATGATATGCTGGATATCTTAAGAAAAGCTAACTATATCAGTTTTTTTTATTTAAAGGATGCTGGAAAATTCTTCAGATAATGCTCAGAAAAAAATCTGCTTTTATTAGTGATGTGGGACTGTATGAGTTTTAAATGGATTACAGGACTTCGCAAAGGCCTGTGTCCACAATATAGCGGTGACAAAACCTCTCACTGATCTGAATTGCACCCAAAGTGTGACAACAGACAATCCTTAAAGGAAAACCCTCTTTCATCAGAGCCTTCTAGATCTGTGCAAAAATAAAATCATCTCCCAACAGTTTGGTAATGTGTGAACAACATATGGGTTATTTTAATGCACTGTTTTATAGTTCAGAACTTCTTTTTTTATTCTATTAGGTTTTTTTTTAAAGTATGACATTTCCTACTTATTAAAGATGTAATTTTGTCTTCTAAAATACGCGTGCTTAGCTGGGGAAATTCAGTTCAGCTGGGCTTGTTGAGAGGTATCTAAGCTGTCTTCCTGTGGTATAGATTTGATATGCTCCCTTCCCTTGTGGGCTTTGCTGTGGATTTTAAAATTATTTTCACAATAAAAATATACAAAATCCTCAGTGTTCGTGTCATTCTTTGTTAGTTTCTAATTTCTTAATACTCACCTATATCTCCAGGGCTGCTGTTGAGATTTCCAAGGCTCCAAGCTGCTGGACATAAAGGTGTTGATAGCCATACATTTTCCAAAGTTGTTGTTATGTTACAATAGGAGATGGATGAAAAATTAAAAAAAGCATTTGCATGACAAACTGCAAAATTTTGAAATGTTTTTTGTTCTGAACTGTTCAAAATGGATCCGTATTTTTTCTGAATGCTTTTGCAAATTTGAAAAACTGGTTTTCAATAAATGAAAAACCTGTGTAACCACCTCTGTAATATTTTGATAGCATTCCATAAAAAATTGAAGACATGTTAGACACACAATTTTTTGCAAAAAGTGATGATTTTTACTTCTGAATTTTTCATGGAAAATTCATTTGTGAGAGGCTGTTTTTTTCTTTTTTAATATAAATTTTTTTCAGTCAAACATTTTTGACTATCTCTAATCATAATGCAGTGGGTCTTTCCTAGTTCCCTTCAATCAATATGATATATGCACATTATTCTGCAATGTAATCAATGTCTTTTTGCGCCCTCATTCATCCTTCATGCTTGAATTACTGTAATTCAGGGTGTGATGCGGTGGACTAGGCCTAGAGGCCTCAGGGTCCTACCACATCCTGTCCCAGAGATGATCAGAAGAGAAGTCCTCCAAGTGGCCTAGAGTGGTTGCAGGAAGCAGCCAGTCAGGGCCAGCAGACTTACATAAAAGGAGTTGCAGGGCCGGAGTCAGTCAGCTGCTGCCTGGAACTGGAGGAGAGAGGTCTATTCTGGCTGACTGAAAAAGCAGCAGGACCATGGACATCTCAGTGTGGGTAGGGAGCAGGGGAGGAAAGAAGGAGCTTTTGGCTGACTGCTGGGACTGAGTAAGGAATGAGCCCAGGGAAGGCCACAGGAAAATACTGTCTCCAGAGAGAAAGCCCTGGGGATATGGCCCTATACTAGGGCTGGGACAAGTTAAAGATGGTATTCCCTGGAAGGGGTTTGTTCTGTTTCACATACAGTGTATGTGACTTGGCCAAAGGGCTGAGTCCCTGTAAAACTACCTGAGAAACCACTGACAGGGGTCATTATAAACTGAAAAACTACAGACACATCTGATTAATAGGGGGTGCTTGTGAGAAGTGGGTGCCACACCATTACATGGGCATTAATTTTTGTGCAGTTGTTGGATGTATAAATGGTAATATCAGGTAGGAAGGTTATATTTCCTCTGTATTTGGCAGCGGTGTGACTGGTACTGGAATACGTCTATGTCTAAGTCTGGTGTCCACTATTCAAGAAGGATGGGTGTGGTCTACAAAGGTATTCTGACAACTAAGTCCCATTTTCACCCACTACTGCAATCCACAAAACTCCTACCTGGTTGCCACCTAACCCTCTAGGTGCCTAAACTCACTCAGCGCTTAAATTTTTGCTGCTGGGCATGTGCACTGCAGCCTCATGGTAGGCATCCAGACTCTGACCTCCCATGTAAGCCCCAGACTGATTTGCCAACAGGAAAAGATAGGTGTTTGGCTGCAGAAGGCACAGCTGGGGACCTAATCCAGTAGGCATTTTCAGAGGCTGCCTACTAGATTGGATGTCTCAGGTAAATTCACACCAAACAGTTGTAGGTGGGTTGAGGAGGACCTCCCTTATATCATTTAGCCTAGTGGACAGGGTACTCCTGTAGGCTAATTACAGTGCTCATTCCTCTGGGGGTGGGGGAAAGGGAAGTTATGAACAGGGATTGGCCACCTGTCATGTGAGTGCCCTAACCACTAGGCTTGTGGAATAGTCTGAGGTGGGTCTCCCTCAATCTCAATTAATGCAGTTCTTAAAACAAACAAAAGGAAGTATTCGCACAATGCACAGTCAATCTGTGGAACTCATTGCCAGCGGATGTTGTGAAGGCCAAGACTATAACAGGGTTCAAAAAATAACTAGATAAATTCATGAATGATAGCGTCTCTAGCCTCTGTTTGCCGGAAGCTAGGAATGGGTTGACCAGGGATGGATCACTTGATGATTACCTGTTCTGTTCATTCCCTCTGGGGCACCTGGCATTGGCCACTGTTGGAAGACAGGATGCTTGGCTAGATGGACCTTTGGTCTGATCCAGTGTGGCCGTTCTTATGTTCCACTTTACTTAATTATTAATTGGGCCAATGAAAGAGTTAAAATGGCTCTGTAGCTAGTGGTTAGGGCACTCACCAAAGAGGTGGCTGATCCCTGTTCAAATTCTTTCTCCCACTCAATAGGAGGCGGGACTTGAATGAGGGGCCTTCCACATCCCAGGCAAGTATCCTAACCACTATGCTAAAGATTACAAAGGAGTGCCACCTTCATCTCTCCCTGCCGTTTTGGATCCTGCACACAACTTGGCCAGCCAATTACCTATCCCATGGTTTGTGGATTGTAAATAGAGATAGGTGCTTCCCCGCTGCTTGGATTTAGGCTTCTGTCTCTGAGATGGGGTGGAGTTTACCACACACACACCTCTTGTCAGTCACTCCCATTGGTGGCTGGCTGGCTTAGACAGCTAACCACCTACCATGCTGGCTTTGTGGATTAACGTCTAAGGTGCTTATCCATCCCTATTCATTGTATGGGAGCTTAGGCACCTAAGTCGGGCTTTGTGAATTGCAGTGTTGTTCCTGTGAATTTCTCAGCACCATGATGCTCAGTGTCACGACACCTAAATACCTTTGGAGATCTGTGCTGGAATGTATAATATGGAGAGGGCTCAGAGAAGAGGCATATGAATGATTAAAGCAAAATATATTTTATAGTGATAGACTCAAGAAGTTAAATCTATTTAGTTTAACAAAGAGAAGGTTAAGTTGTGATTTATCTCAGTTTATAAGTAGCTACATAGATGATATAAAATTTATAATAGCATCTTCGTTCTAGCAGACAAAGAGAGAACAAGATCCAATGGGTGGAAACTGAAGTGAAACAAATTTGGAGATAAGGTGCACATTTTTAAGTGAGAATAATTAACTATTAGAAAAATTTACCAATGATTGTGGTGGATTTTTATCACTGGCAATTTTTAAATAAAGATTGGATGCTTTTCCTAAAAGATACGCACTAGTTCAAACAATAATTAAATCATGGAAGTCCTACGTTAGACAGGAGGTTAGACTAGATGATCACAATAATCTCTTCTGTCTCTGTAATCTATACATTCTGTAATTTCTCAGTGTTGATGATTTCAGTAAGAGGTTTACAGTTAATGTAATACAACATTCATTATGAAACTTCCTTTTGTTGGAGTTTTATTATATCCATTACAGAAATGCAACAAATGTGTAGTCCAGTAAGATTGATTGATTACTTACTTTCACAGGGATGCTATTTCTATAAACTACTAATTACTCAAATGGAATCAATACTGTGGTGTCAGTCTCAGCTCTCTGAAAATTTTAGCTTCCTTTCTTAATTTACACTGATCAATCTTCCAACCTGACCTCTTACCATAATTTCAATGCAAAGAGAAATGATACCCTCCTTCATGACCACTTATGGCCCTTTGCAACTAATGCACACTAAGAAGTTCCTTCACCTTCAGGGAAAAAAACCTATAACCCCCAACATGAATCTAATCTGTAGTAAATCAGATTTTTTTCCCTTCCAGTGACTGTTGCCCAGTGAAAAGAACTAGTGTTAGTGGCAGTCATTCAGAGTAAGGGAATCTGAAAGACACCTGCAACACACAGAGAATAATCTTATTCATTCTGATTATCCTAAATTTTGACAAATATTCATCTTGACCTTTCTTATCTGTAAAATTGCTTACACCTACCTAAATGTGTGAAACTGCCACTGAAAATGTGAAAATGTGGGACAACCACTTTAGTTACTCATGAGAAAAAATATATTCAGACAATATAAGGGCTAGATCCTACAAATCCAACTCACTAGTATTCCTTATCCCAGGAAACAGCCAATGGGACTACTTCAGTGAGTAAGGACTATTCACATGAATAAGAGTTTGCAGTATCTAGCCCTAGTTTATAATGTTTCTCCAAGATTAAATATTGTTAAGATGGAAGCGTCTTCCTCACATTTATTGTCTTTTCTAAGTTTTGCTGCTGCTAGTAAAATTTCATACATTACAAAGTGGCATACTGAAGTTTCTCCACTTTCACCACTGAAATCTTCAGTTTCCTAAGTTGGATCCCCCTTTGGTATAGAGGAGATGGCTGCTAGCAGAGCATTTTTCTGGGGTTGGGAGGGATCTTTTCCTTTGGAGTGCTCTGAATTCCTCCCCTCCTCCTATTCCAAAATGGCCTGAGTCTATAGAGCTTCAGGCATGCTCCCAAGCTTACTTGTTTAAGGGGGCATTGTGGGGGGCTGAAGCAGTTTATGATGGGATTGTTGTCTGGTGATTTTAAATTTTATTGGTCTGCTGCATGGTTATTCGTATGAGATGTGATAGGGTGCAGGAAGGAGAAGTGATGAGGCTTTGGATGATTTGTTTTGTAAAGTATAAATGTATGTTAAGAGTGTCCAGCATTTTGGATTTCTTAGATCAAAATCGAAATAAAGAAATTATGGTGGGCTGGCTTTCCCAAAACATCTGTCAATCCAATATATATGAATGGGAATTGGGTATTAAAATCATAACTAATAAGCACTCTCCCCCAAATTTAAAATCTAGAGACACACTTTTGATTTGTTCTTAATCATTGAAGTACCTAATGTAATAATAAAACACAAATGTGAATCAGTAGGCTAGTAGTTCATGCCCCAGATATGCTTGAATGCCTTCAGTCACCCAAGAAGTTCACTAATGCAGCCGTGACATGGCTGATGGCTATTAGAGTTTTGATAATTCACTTTAAATTACATTTTAAAAAATGTCTGAGGCTGGTAATGGTGCAACATACCCTTACACTATGAAAAGTAGATGGGTAAGATAAAATAACAGGGAAAAGGCTATAAATACTTTCTTTTTTATTTTGAAAA